ATCTACCCTGGAGGAAAACTGATGGCAACAGGGTTAGGTGATTAAATACCTGGGCCGACATTGCAGCGATGTGATCGCATCCGTGCTGTAAGGCAAGGATCCAGACCCTCAAAAAAGCTGGTCTCCTTTACCCCAGCGAAGGGGCTGCCCCCTTCCTCGACTCCATGAACTAACCACGCTTCCCTATGTGACAGCCGCTGAGATGCAGGGAAAACTTATTAAAAAACAGCTTTGCAAAAAAATACATGCAGATTTGATGTCTAATTAGAAAAATACCAGGAAATTGGTGTAAGCTGGATAATCTTCTCTTTTCTGACAAGCTGTCCCATTTCAAGGATGAATAGTTGGGAATATAAATCTGATAATTGCAATGCTGAAAATGAAAATCAAATTGAAGCCATCAGAAGATCCTATTTTAAATTGGTTTAGTCCTCTGACAAAATTTCCATCTTCCCCCGTCCAGAGCAGCCCTAGCAGACAGCTGGACGGAGTGAGTGGTTGTCAATGGCTGAGATGTGCCGCAGCTGGGTGAAGTGTCCTGGTCAAAGATTCTTGGCTTTGGTCCCCTTTAGTCCCCCACCAAGCACCATCCAACGGGCACGTTTGGCTGGTACCAAGTCGATGTTTTTCAGAATTTTCATTTGGCAGGAAATGTCCAAGTTCAGGCTGTGTTCCTGCTTGGGGAAGGGACCAACCTGGCTCCTGCTGATAGCCCGAGGGCCACCAGAGTGCAGTGCTCAGTCTCACGTGGCGCTGAGCAGGCAGGTTGCCCACACCCCAAGCCAGTGGCCCTCCTCACCAGCGCACAACAAATTCTGTTTCCATAAAAGCATTTGGAAGATTTTGGTTTAGATCTGATGCTGTCCCTGGGTCACAGAACTGTCCCCCTCTAATGGACTCCTGGGGTCTTTTCCTTCTCCCTAGCCTGACCTTCCTCCTCACCAGCTGCACGTTGGGCAAGGAGGGGCAGCCCACTTTCAGCTCCGATGCATTGCTACAATCTTACCCCCGACATGAAGGAAGGGTTTGGCAGATTTCGTGGCAGCGAGTAGATGGCAGCAAATGTTGATCATGTTAAAACGCCTCCAGGGCTGGTGCGGAGACATTCGAAATCCGCACTGAACCGTGGCCGCCCAAGCTGGGAACTGAAGTTCAATTCCCAGCCAGAAGTTCTCTCGCCAGCTGGTCTTGTAGCTCTAAAGGCAGCACCAGTCAATCGCTGAGCAGGGGCACTCAGCTGTTTTCTCCCAACATCTGGATGCTCTTGCTTTGGGAGTCCCATCCCATCCTCTGTCTGGCCAGAAGGAGATGGAGCAATACAAGCCACAATGGAGGGCCAGGAAGCCAGGAATGTCTTGGGGGAGATGAGTTTTTTAGAGCCATGGAAAACTTTGGGAATGACCCTGACAGCCACAGGAATACAACCCCCATCCCCCTGCCTATCCCTTCCAGGCAAACTCGGGGCAAAGTACAGTTGCAAGCAAGAAGCCACATCTGCTGGGAGACAGGGAGCATAGGTGAGGTGCAGGAAGCTACAAGGTGCATTTTGTAACCTCTCTATTAAGTCTCATGCCTCCCACACCAGCTGTGCCATGCACACAAGACGGGGAGGCAGGAGGGTGTCAGGATTCGGGGGCGGGAGTGAAGTTCGAGTGGCCTGAGACCTTCAAACGTACTTTGGCTCCAAGGCTCATTAGATTACGGGGGAGTGAACTGGTTTCAGGCATCTGGGCCTTAGTTCTCCATCTGGAAGACGGGGTGAACACTGTACCCCGTCCTCCATCTTGTCCAACTGGCCTGTCTGCATAGACACAATCGGTCTGATTTCAGCTGGATCAAGAGGTGCTGCCCCAGTGCAAACAAGAACCCAAAGGACTGGCCCAGTGTCTCCAAAAGGAGAGCTCACGCTTCCGTCCCAGCTGCAGGCTGCCCGGATTTCAAGAGTTCAGATGACAGCGGGCTGCCGGAGCCATTTAAACAGGCCTGAGCTGGCAGCAGGGAGCCCTGACTCCAAGACACGTTTTCCTCCTCTTGGCTTCCTGTTTGTTCCCTCTGGAGGGGGAGGGTGGGACTGGCAGTGACTACTATCATCAGACAAGATACTGGGCTAGATGGACCTTTGGTCTGCCCCAAAAGAGCCGTTCTTATGTCCAGCTGCTTCATTTCCATTCGGGAAGGTTCGTCCCTCAGCTGCTGCTCCCATAGGTATTTGTATTGCAGATAAGGATCACGGTGGCACCCTTCAGAGGCTGGGGGGTGGGAAGCAACGCTTGGAAAGGAACAGGACTGCAGCTTCTTGCAGGATTATTCGTCGCTATTCCCCTGAAGGCCCAAGGACAGAGCCCCATTTAATACAAATCCCGGTCGTGCCCTGCAAGCAGCGGATCTATGCCAATGTCGCTCTGCGTGGGCCCAGGCCCGGCCTTTGAAAGGATAAGCAGCGATTTCCCCTAGAACGACTCCTCCATGCAAGACCCATCAGGTTTCCACGCCGTCTACTCCGTCCTTCCGCCCTAGGTCTCTGCTGCCAAGCGATTTCCCCTAGAACGGCTCCTCCATGCAAGACTCATCAGATTTCCACGCCGTCTACTCCGTCCTTCCGCCCTAGGTCTCTGCTGCCAGGCACGTCACCGACGGCAGCTGCTCCGGGAGCCGTCGTGGGTGGGCTGTGGGCAGAAGGGGCAGGGTGTCTGCAGTCACTGGCTGGCAGCCCCGTCGGCAGGGAGAATCCAGCCCAACACGGCTGACTCCCTGGGCTGCGATCTTCTATTCCCTTGCGGCTTTGCTGGGCGGGGAGACCGCTACAGAGATGCCTGGAGTCCTCGCCTCTTGCTGATTAGCCTGTTGGGAGGGAGAGGCTGAAGGACCCACCTGGTGTATTTTTCTTCTCTGCATGGAGGCATGGTTGCTCTGTGGGGTGCAGCCAACAAAGGGACTCACCTGGTGTGTTTTTCTTCTCTGCATGGAGGCATGGAAACCATTGTTACTCTGTGGGGTGCAGCCAACAAAGGGACACATGGTGCAGGCAGTTTAGATTCCCTGAGGTCCCTGGCTAACTAACAAGCTCTTGCTCCATCTTTTAGAAGCTAAACCGGTTCGTTGGCACAAACCAAGCCCAGATCCTTGGCTTCCCTTCCAAAGACCTCCAGCGCCTTGCAATAAGAAGCCCTGAGGCTATTGCAGGAGGGCAACCCCCCACAACGCAGAATCTCTGCCAAGGGCTCCAAATGCAGCACTGTTGTTATTGGCAAAGGGGGTTGCCCCCACCTGTACTCTAGTTCTCATCAAGAATCCTTCTCTTCCCCCACCCCCATGTGCCTGTCAGGTGTTTGGCCCTGGCTAGAGAGCAACCCTAGTCAACTGCTCTGACACAAGCCACACAAACCTCCTAGAAGCAGCAGTACCGCGGCACTTCCCAGTGCAGCACGCTGCCCTGACGCTGGAGCGGTCCTCTTCCTGTCACCAGCTCTAGTCCCGACAGCAAATGGATGACTATTAGCCAAAGGATAGATAAGGTTACCAAAGAAGGTTGTAGTAGGGATGCTTAATTGCGGATAATAGACTAATCGAATAGTCGATGCACTTTGCATCGACTCTTCGACTAGTCGATAGGGCGCCTCCGCCTTTGAAGTGTGGAAACAGCCCTAGGACTGTTGCTACACTTTAAAGGAGAAAGCGCCATGTGGAGCCCGAGATCAGCTGGGGACTCCCTGCTGATCCCGGGCTTCCGTGCAGCGCTGCCGTTTTGTACTGGCGTGAGGAGCCTGACTCCGGGCTCCCATGGCGGCCGTTTAAAGCGGGAGCGCCGCACACC